GGTACTTAGTACTAAGCATATAACATTTTTAGAAAATATTATAGGAGGAGAGGCTTTAGTCCCTTCAAAAAAATTGGGTTATATGAGGCTATGTATAGGTTAGGTTATATATTATGTATATAAAAATCTGGTGTCACGGTGTTTGTTCACGTTAATCTCCGAAACCACTTAACTGATTTTAGTGAAATTTACAACTACCTAGTAGAAATATGGCATAAACATTTTTTTACAAATATATTTATAAAAAAACTAATCTTTGGCACAGGCAACGCCGGAGAGAAAGTAACTAAGATACTGTCCTAGTACTTTTTTGAAAAATATTTAAAATACGTATTTGGAAAGGTACTTCAAAAGTATATTTAATTAATACTTTTACTTAATAAGACTGGTATAGTGGTACGGGTAAATACTAAATATATTATATACCCAAATATACTCCCTTATCAGTGTTTGGAAGAACGTCGTTCATGAACGTTCATGAACGCACGTTCACGTTCATATATCTATAGTGAACGTCACTCGTTTTTTGCAAATAGAACGTGAACGTGAACGACGTTTATCTTTTTAATGAATTTGATCCATTTTTAAGACGTTCAATTCATTTACCATTTAATAAATATTATATGTATAAAATATATTAATTAATTATATTATAATAGTAATATTTTCATTTTTCCCATAATATTTGTTTGATTGCAAAATATATAAATTAAATACGTGAAATTCCAGTGTCCCCGGCGGCCGGCTAGACATACAACAGCAATAATATTATGATTTCCAAGAATTTGTTATAAACCTAATCGGTCTATCATAATAAGTACCCTAGTTTAGCTTAATTTTATCACAAGAAAATCCTTATAAAAATGTAACTTAAATAACGTGTCGGATATTAAAAATCAATTCAGATACCTTATAAATATTAAATTGTATATGCTCTAAAGTCTAAATTGTATTTTTATTTTTTGATTGTGTCGTATATGTTTAAGGGGTTTTTAATTTTTACATTGACTGCAGGCTAATAATTCATAAAAAATGTAATTAAATGAACGACCTAATGAAAGAGTTCGTTTTTTAAAAGAACGTGAACGCGTTCGTATGAAAAAAACATGAACGTGAAAGTGAACGTGAATGAGTTCAATTTTTTAGTGAACGTTCCGAACACTGTCCCTTATTATACACCTATAGTTTAAAAATCAAACTAATACTTTAAATTTATTATGACCTATCTAAACATTTTGATCGATAATTGAACTTTAACATTATTTATGTATTGATTATGTTATAGGATTTATCATCTTCCTAGTGATCAATTCACCATGTTTCTGCACCAATGGCTGATTCAGAGGAGTGGGTGCAAATATGCAATGATGACCTATATATCCAATGTTCGGGTTATTGTCGCGTTCGGCCTCTGATCGCATAGTGTAGTTGTTTTTTTTTTTTTTAACAAGAAGTCCTCGTTGAGCAACTCCGATGTTCTATAAATAGTATAAACCTGCAGTAATATAAGCACATACACATAGGTACACGAACACGACGATAGGGACTTGTGGGAAGGTCAACACATGGCCGCAGATGACGGACGTGCAGGAGGTACATTTTTTTTATTGTTTTGAAACTTTTTTTTACAATGCATACGAATATATGATATTATATGCATACCTATAAGTTACCTACTTATATAACATATTAGATATATACGTAAGTATATGTAAGCGTGCCATCGTCGCGTGATAGACAATGATTACCTGTTAGGACTTGGTCGATGCACTTCATATACATATTATACTTTTGACGAACCGCCACGCGAGTATCGCATTTGCATAGATTTATTTCTTCTTCTTCTTCTTCTTCTTCTTCTTCTTTTCAGCTTAACGGTCCATTCCTGAATGGTGTCCTGACCAGCACTACCAAATATACCATCACAATGATCACATAAGATGAGAGAGCTCTCTCAGTCTCCCAGTCTATAGGCATCTCTTTATTGGTGTTCGCTATTTGGTCTACCACTGCAAAATGTTTGGATATATTAAAAATGTACCGTATAGTATTCGATATTAATAAACCACATCTTACATATATACAGAGTGATCCAGCAACCATGCTCAACGCCTGTATATATAAAAAAAATACAGGAGACGGAATTATGCGTATAATGTACTTGTACGAGTAGGTTACACCGCTCAGTGTTGTGAAATATTTTGTCAGAATTTTTCACACGACCCATTGTTAGGTTACCCACTTTATAGTTCAATACAACTATACCTACACTGTACAATCACATGCAAAATAATACCATTATACGGCAGTACTACGTATACTGTATTTATGTATACACATTACACATGGCCCATGGGTAGTGATGCGTAAATATAATGCCAATGTCAATGCTACAATAATAATTATTATACACCCTATGGCCTATACATTATACATATACATACCTATGTAAATTTAATTTCGACCAAAAATTATTCGATCATCGATATACAAATGACGTAGTTTTTTTTTTTTGGGGGGGGGAGTGATGCGAACAGATTCCCAGAGCATTTTTTTCATGTTATAATATAATGTAGGTAATGTACCTACCGTAGAATACTTAAGTTTACCTAAAGATATATATGATATGGATTATGGATAGTGATGATCACAATTAAAAAAGGCTAAAGTGCCACTTACCTTATCTTTTTTTTGAATATTCAAACCAGAACATTTAGTATAATAGATTTCACCAAGGCTTAGCTACAATATATAAGATTTAATTTACCTTGCATTAATAATTTACAAAAGTCTCAACAATTAGCTAAGAAACCTTCATTTTTGGTAGGAAAATCTGGTGTTGCTGAACTGCGTGATGACTATTATTATTTATTACCTAATTAATTAAAATTTGTATCAAAAAGTATAGAAATGTTAGAAATATGCCCTAAAACCAAAACAAACTCAAAAATTACAAGACTAGCTTTTTCTTAGCATAAAACGTACCTATTTGTTTCTTACTCTGATATTTTTGAGATTGTGTAAAACAAATATACAAATGTTATAAAACTTCTGCCCTATTTATAACTATGCCACCACTATAAATTACATTATTAATATTTTTTGAGGGGGCTAATGACTCCCCCACCATACAGTGGCATACACACACACACACCGTACTATTAAGCAGGTAGAACTTAGAAGTGGGTATCTGACTACTGCAGGCCATACAATAATAATAATACCTCAGGCGTTGTCACGTTCAGTGACCTTTGGACTCCCGACATGATAGTGCAAATAGCAATGCCGTCTAATATTGACCTATTGTCTCCCCAATTAAAATTTTCAAAAATAAAATTATTAAAAACAACAAAAATCAAATTCATGAAGGTCTAAATAAACCATCCTCTTTGTCTCCATCTCCGCCTTCTTCTCTAACAATATAACATTTTTCAATATACGATAATGGTCGAAACTATTTTTAAAACCAAACCACTACGCTGCTTTTATCTCGATTGAACCAGACCCATTAATTATGGCAACATTCATAAACATAAGACATAAGTACATAACCCACCAGAATCGTCTATATAGCTAGGGGCAACCACATACCTCCAACAATGCACCAAAGACTATGCTGTCTCCGTATTAAAACTATTCAAGGAGTTCTTATAGGAGGGTTAAGAATTAAATTAAAAAATTTCATCGGCCTAAACAGTGGCTCTTGTAAACCCAACTCATCCCATCTCAAAGTCCAAACGGGCAACCGGACGACTATAGGGAATTAATTCACTTTCTTAAGGACAGTAATGCCCAATACCATATACTCAGTGGCGGCTCGTGGTTAAAATATTTGGTGGTGCACACAGTGGTGACTTGTAATGTTTAAAGTAGATGGTAACTATTGCAAATTCTTTAAAAAAAGAAAAAAATAAACTCCAAATTCAAAATGTTTGAATGAAAAAAAATATAAATATAAAATACGGGTGGAATGCCAATACAGCGATATCGTCACAGATAAGCAACTAGGTATTCAGCAATTGCCCAACAAAGTCACCGAACTAGTTACCGTTTCGGCGTTGTGCGCTTGAACGGTAAACAATTTATGCTCATTTGCATGTATTTTGTTCCAATCTACTGATCGACCTAATGAGATAATTTTTCAGAAAACTGATTTAAATTCCAAATAATCGACGTTTAAAAATTACGAAATTTCAAAATATTCAAACTAAATTTATAGTTATTGGGAGTTAAATTGAGAAAGTTGGACTGACCGATCTCAAGTAGACATAATAATGAATTCAAATCATTATTAAAAAGTATTATCGCATTAGTAAGTCGGTTAGTATGATGGAATAAAGATTGGTATATTTTGGCAAAAATAACTGTCCTCCGCCTATCCCGGAGAATTTTTTATTTTGCATTACACAGAAATCAACTAGGTCTTATATTTTAACCTAAAATTAATGAATCACGGTATGTAAAATTAAATTTCATAATTAACTTTTTTTTTTGTTATTTGCCCTTGAAATTAACTGACAAATGTCAGCAGACAATTAATTATTCTTTCCCTTGAATGATAATACATTAAAAAATAATCCACCAGACCAAAATAAATATTTAATATTTTAATTATTTATATTTATCTTATAACACCTACGAGTAGGTAATTTAATGTATGTGATTACTGATTATAATTAAGAATTATTTACTCATTCTTTAAATAAAAGCTTTAGATAAATGTATAATATATACTTTTTATTTTTATCATTATGGGTTAAACATTCATAGACTCGGGTCGAAATAATAAACATATTTCATTACATTAACATTATAATGAGAGTCAGTTGTATAGGTACTAATATGTTGTACTACATACATATCAGTGTTTCAGTAGTAACCATACTCAAACAAAACTAAACGTCCTTGACTAGATTTAGTAACATTTTTTTTTGTTTGAAAACACAGCAAACAATAAAATATTATTATAATTATTATTCTTTCTAGTTTGAACTAACAGTATGTATAGGACAAGTGTGTTATGGTTGTGTACTCTACTGTGGTCAGTTGGCCTAGCAGTCACACCGATACCATCGCGGTCACCAGAAAAAAATAATAATGTTGACTGTACAGGACCTATTGCATTTACATCAACTGGGAGTACATCAGTCCATTCTACAGGTCTGGTAGCGTATAAACAGAATATCGTTAACCTAGCTGTTACATGGGATCGTGAGGTTGGTGTCTATACATGCGCTTGTTCTGGCCTCCATCAATTTTCTTTCTCTGGTTCCACTGAAGAAAACACAAGGTAATATGCATTGGTTACAAAGGAATAGGATTTTTGACAACCATTCTAATAAAATCATAACATAGGATGGTGTTGAAGAAAAGATTAAACAACGGTAAACAGTGGACGCCAATTATAGCAACAAAACCAAGTGGTGGATCAGCTACAATACTTTTGGAAGTAGAAAGTGGAGATCAGGTAGCTGTATATTTGGATGGGAATTCAAAAAAATTCAATGCTAGACACGGACAAGACATAGATGTTACATCGTTCAGTGGTTACAGAATAGCAAAATAAAATAAAGTGCTGTTTTACTTACTTATAACAAAATATAAAATTTGTAATACCATTTAATAACACCTAAAATTTAAAAAAAAGAAAAAGAATCTAAGCTTGAAAATTGCTGTGTAAACAGCAATTTATACTGAAAATCTTAATTTGATTTTTCAAAAATATTATTTATAGATACCTAAAGAAACATTAACAGAATTTTAATATGCTGTGTGTTACTGGTAAGTAATAGTTAGTAATACATTAAAAATTGATTAAATATATCAAATCTTAAATATTAAGTATTAACACATACACACAAGTAAAGATTAAAAATAATAAAGGAGACATTATCTTATTATTAACAAATCCATTACCACAGATTTGAAAACAAAACATTATTTTATGAATAAGTAAAAGTTAACCACTTTTAATAGATACCTAGATAGATAGATATTTTATTTATTATTATTATTTCAAATAATAATTAATTTATACGTTTATTTGCAATAACTATCTATCTATAGTAAGTACATAATATATTCACAAATAAGTATTGAAATAAACCATTGGTAATTAATTTTAAAATTATGTTGATACCCATAATATTCATACATATATCAATATAGTTTTGTTATTTTTTTTTTTACTATTAGGAATTGTAAATATAATAACATTTTGTTTAAAATAATTGTATTTGGATTTCTCAATATGTTTGTCTAATAAATATTGTTAAAAAGTAATAACGCATCAAAACCACATTAGTACATTTTTTTTTTAATATTAAGCTCTTAACATTTTCTATATACATTAAAAAAATAGCAATAAATAAAACATTTACAGCATATTAAAATACATAAAAAAAAATTAAAATAAGTAACTTGCTTTCAAATTAATCTTCTATGGCTAATAACAGAGATAACTCGGTATATAATAATAATAATAAAAGGAATAATAACCAATTACAAACTGAGCGACAAATACAAAATAATATTTTATAGAGAAGTTTAAAAACTCGTTGCACTTATAAAATAATCATTTAAATTGATTATAAAAGTTGATTTATTAATATAAAATATAAAATTAAATTTATAATAAAATAGGTTTAGTTATTAAATAAATTCACAGCTTTTTGAAATATTTGTTTTGGGATATATTAGAATAAATGGCACCGTGCTTTGGACCACAATAGATTATTTAAATTTATTAAACATATTATTTATAAATAAATATATTTTTATTAACATTTTATTAGTTTGTATTATTATACCTAATTTAAAGCAGCAGATGTTAATAATGCAACTCCTCTTTCATAAAATGTGTGATGATCTTGTCCGGGAGCTACATCTAGTTCTACAGTGAATAATAATTCAGCTCTAGTAGAATTTAAATATACTGGTAGAGACAGTTTATCAGGTCTTAAGTGTTCTTCTGCCGATACACTGGAAAATATAAGTATAATTTAGAAAATAAACTTTAATAACACATTTTTATTAAATAAAATACACTTACTGTGTCCATCGTAACAATGTCACTGGTAAATCAGTCATTATGGATGAAGTTAACAACAACTGATTATTACGACATTGTGCACCCTGTAGTTTTAAACCTTAGAACATAAAAAATGGTTATCAATAGAATATCATTTTTTTTTTTTTTTTTTACAAATGCTTACCAATAACACCAAAGCTACATTCGTCCTGTTGAACTGAATCATACTCTAATGCATCAGTAATAGTCACATCTAGTATTAATTCTTCTAAGGACCAAGAGTTAGCTTGTGCAATACACTGTCTGGTAGCTGTTATATAAGCTTCTGGATTTAATAAACCCCCAAGCCACACTGGGAATGACTATAAATAAAAATAGTGTAAATATAGAATTAATACAAAATAATTGTACTCAAATGGTTTTAATAACTTACTTTGATTTGATTGGCACCTCGTTGAGAAACAAGCTGTGATACTTGCTGTAGTTGCTTGACACGTTGGCTAAAGTCAGACACCCATTGGATTACTGTACATCCACTGGGCACTGTGTATCGACGCCAACCAACTGGCAATTTTCCTTTGACCAAATCACTGAATAAGCTTCTATGATAGTTGGTTTGTTTCTTTTCACCCTGTGAATAACAAAAAATAAATAAATAATACAAAAACACTTGTTAAATCATTGAACATACTTGGCATATAGCTACTACTTCATTTAAATCATGAATAACTTCCTGTAATAACTTAGAACCGAAGTTGACTTCTCGTTCGAAATATCGATAAAGAGGATCCTTAATGTTCTCTACAGTACGTTTTAATGTCTGAAGTGATTGAGGTAAAAGTTGCAGCCAGGTAGTTGCTGAGTTATGCAATGTTCTCATCCAAGCTGGACGACCATCGGATGTTGGAAGTCCAATACTAGAATCAGGTCCTCCATCTTTAACAGCTTGTTCAGTAACATAAGCAAGTTCATCTTCATCCTCGAGTTGTTGCATCTTCAATAATTTGCTTACCAAATCGGTACCTATTTAATTATGAATTAATTTATCATACATTTATCAAAAATAGTTACTTCAAAGTTCTTGACATACCTCTAGTTGTCAGTAGTACTTTTTCAGCATTGTTTGGTAATCCTAACCAGGATGGTGATTGTCTATCTGACAAATTTTCAATCCAATGTAAAAAGTGATCTCGTCTTGATCCATTGGGCATTGTAATATGCCTAAAATAAAGTTATTTAGTTAAATATTGTAAAATATTTAAATAAAAATAAGTATATTAATTGGTACCTATTATCTCCTCCAACACCATCTACATTAGCTACTAATGCAAATCCTGTTTCAAAACTACGTGCTGTGAACAACTTGCTTAAGAATGATGTCAATAGCCTTTGATCATAGTCATTGTCAATTTTACCACCATAAATACATTGTGACAATAAAGTAACTAGTGCGTCCCATGGAATTTTCTCAGGAGGTAAATTTGTACGGCTCTAAATGTTGATTAAATTAATTAAACAAATTCAAAATCTATTTTATTACTGAAATAAAAATATACTTTGGCTGTTGTTTCAATCCATGTATCCAAGGTGTCACAAGCAACTCTTAGATCAGATTCATTGAATTCATAATGTTTGGCCCAACCAAGTGGAGTATAACGTAGACGCTCTTGTACAATAGCATGGAACCATGCAAGTAAAAAGTATAATCTGGCTCTTTCATTAGGTACTTTCATCATGCGAGATGCCGGAATCTAAAATCACATTATATTTAATATTTCGCTATTTAAGTATAAAGATTTTTAATGTTTACAGTATTGAATGTTCGTAACAAATTGGCTTTTACGCCAGGTGGAGGCTCAAATACAAATATGCGTCCTGCTCTCAATAAATTGACGGGTACGGCAGAATTTATTTCCATAGTTAAAAATAGTCTGAAGTTAGTATGTGGTTGAAGACTGTGTAGTTTCTTTTCAAGCTGTACTAACCATTGAGGAGCCAGATGAACATTTTTCAACAAGACCCATCTTAAAATTATGAAAAAAAAATTAAAACATATTATTTAATATTACATTTTATGTTGATAACACATTATGTTGCATACCGTCCAAGACGAACTGCGGAATTTATAGCTTCGGTAGCTTGGCGGAAACCTTCAGCAGAACCAATTGCTACAGATGACAACAGTTGGTTATGTTGAGTGGCAAGGTCATCAACACGCCCAGAAGCATCATACCCAGGGGCCGAGCACAAAAGTGCTGGAACACTACAGTCCAATTCATTTAGGACAATAGTAGCCAAGTCAGGTTCACGCTCTGCTGAAGAGGTTAATTGAGTACCTAAAGTTGCTTCGACAAATAGATTAGCTGATGCTATCACTCTATCTGGTCGGAATGCCTAATTTTAGAATTAAAAGAAATATAAAAAACTTATATGTATATCACTTAAATTAAAGAAATGGATTATTAGAAATACTTGAATAGCAAGAAGTTGATACATGGCAGTAGCCACAGGACTAAACGGAGTTGATTCGTCCCATAATTTAGGAACACATTGTTCAGGTGTATTTTGTGCAAGCCATGGGCCAAACTCTGGCATTTCCTCTACCCGTTCTGATAAATTTTTAAATGATGAAATTCTATGTGATAACCTAATCATGGCTTCAATTTGTTCTTGGTTCAGACTACTAAGAGAACCCTGTCCTGATGAGTTATTGGAACTCAAAACTCCTTCTTTACCTCGAAGGAAGAATTGGAACTCAGAGTCCAATATATTACCAATTGGCGATCCCTTTAAACTAATTCGACACAACAATATTGCTAATGTCAACCTATCATTATGTAACATTCCTCTGGCTACCCTTTCATAACATACCTAGAAATTATTTAATGGTTGTTTTAATATCAATACAGAAAATAATTTTTTAATTCTTACAGTGAATAAATCCTTAGTGACAATATCTAATCGAGATGTGTGATCAGTGACAGAAGCCAATCTCGGATTAGACAATAAAACTGAACTGAAGATATCCAAAAAGAATTTTAATGAATACTGATAGAGGAAATGGACTTGATTTAAACTGTCCATAGTGAAATACATGTTACTACAAGCTTGTGCTAAAGGTTTATATTGTTGCGAAACTGTTTCTATTTCAGCAATAACTTTGTCTGTTTCTTCCACCTTTTTGCTGATATCTGCTGCTTCTTGTTTAAGTCTTTCTAATGTTGTTATTACAGAATCATTGTCCAATATTTTACCTTTAGCTTCATTTAATGCTTGTAACAGTGATTTTTCCAACTGTCTCAAACGCAAGTGGAATTCACCTAAAATAAAAGAGGTTTATATTTTTAATACACTGCTTGATCAATAATAACATAATAATAAATAATTAAATTTATTAACAAATAGATATACCTTGAAGTTTGAGTAAGTCAGATCGTTTTGTGTCAATATCAGGCCTTTCAGCTTTCAATACACGATCTAAGCATTGACTTTGTAATGATGATCTAGTTACTGTAAAGTTGACAAACATTACTCTAGAACATATGTCTGGTGAAAATTCAACAGTTGGATCACGAGTAGACAAGAATATCACAAATTTTGGTGATAAATCTATATCTTGGTCTCCAAGTGTTATTAAAACACGACCTCCGGTACGACGAAGTTCTCGATTTAATACAGGATTCAAAATTGGATCATAGTTTTCAACATCCTAAAAGTGTAAGTAAACTGATGATGTAGCTCTTAAAATTTTTAAATTTAATTAATACTAAAATTATTCCCAACAATCAATTACATTAGGATGTTTTTCTAAAAATAAAAACAATATGTTTGAGATGATTATGTGATATCAATCAACTAAGTTCTTTAAACAGTGAGAAAAAAGAACATCAAATATTTTCATGCATTGATAACAAAATAATTATAGAATAAATTTACTTACTTGAACAAGCAATGGATTTCCAAAACGTAATGCAGATTCGAGATTTTTTCTAAAGGAATCATCCAAGAAACTTGTTTTTGTGATCTTAGCATCTGCATACTCTTTGAGAATAAACTCAGTTGCTTGTCCCGATGGATCAATTATTAATGGATATCTATTGTATCTCTACAATTAAAAATAATAAATTAAACAAAACAGAAAAATTATGAAAAAGATTGACATACCTTCAACATAATAGCATTTTCGGTACATAAGTCATCTGTAGGTAATGAATTAGCGTGCCAACGAAGTCTTTCATCAGGATTTGACAAATATTCAGTCAATGCTATATCAGATCTATACTGAATACCAGCTAAGTATAAATGCTGACACCAGGTTGTAAATAGATTTTGACGATACTAATATAAAACATAAACCATTGATTAGAATAGAATAGAATAGAATAGAATAACATATATAAATATATATATTATTAGCATATATAAACAACACTAACATGTTGATCAAAGTAACCAGCATATGCTAAATAGGCTGATGATAGAAGAACATCTCCAATAATTGTAGCCATCTGAGATCTGAACGTATCCCTTGTGCTCTCCCATCTTTCTCTTTCGATCACCAAAGATTTTAAAAGAGCAATTGATCGATCAACCTAAGAATATATTTTATTTATTTAGTAAAAAAAAAAAAACCATTAATTCATAAGCATACTTTGCTCTGGACATTTTCTAAGTCTGATTTAATTGCTTGAGCTTGTGAAATTAGTTGTGCATACTCTTCTTGATATTCAGTGATTGTTTGTTCTAACTGAGCAATAAGCGATGTAGTTTCTTCATTTTTGACTTTGTTTTCTGATGCTTGATTTTCGAGAGATTTTAATTCATCTCTTAATGGTTCCACTTTTTTTAGTACATCCGCATAACTAACCTAGAATATAAAATATCAATATTAAATTTACTAGTGCAGTTTGAAAAAAGATTTAGATAGAATAGAATCAAAATTAAAATTAATACCTGAGCTATAGCCCATTTAACCATAGGACCACAAGCCATACTAGCACGATTAACTTTTTCAAATGTGTAATCCGGGTTATTCAAATACCTACTATGCATTTTTTCGCGAACATCATCACTGTAAAAACAATATTTTTATTAACATTTTTATTTTTATGATTCACTTTTGAAAGTTTTCACTTACGAAATATTTTCTGTACTAAAGTTGTTAACGATTGAATTAATGAAATTCTCTCGCATGACAACTGCTCTGATAGCTTTCCAATCAGATGCATTTTCGCCAAGCAACAAACAAATGGATTCTAATGCCAACTTAACAACTGCAGGTGGATTAGCCATTGATCGTACCTCAACTAATTGTTGTTTCTTGATTTCCTTTACAGCTATAAAAGTATATATTTTGTAGTGAACATTTTTAAAAGCATTTAAATACTATTGTTAAATATTTAATCGTAGATTACCTTGTTGAGCATCCATGACCGCAGGTTCAACATGTGCAAGATCAGCCATAACATCTTTTCGTTTTTCTGAAATTAATACTTGTTGTTTCTTGATTTGTGCTTGTATTTCTTGTGATTGTACTTTACGCTTTTCAGCTTCATGCTGTTCTTTAAACATTTGCTGTAATTTGGCATTAGCTGCCTCGTTTTTGGTGTTTAATTCTATTGATTTGACTGCTAATGATTTTTGCATCTCTTCCACCTGCTCAACTGTTTCAGCTATTTTTGATAGACCAACATTCAAATGGAGTTGTTGTTCTTCAAGTTCAGCTCTCTTTTCTTTATGTAATTTTACAAAATGATTAATAAAATCCAAATAATGTCTAGGGGTAATTGCCATTGTTCTTGAGCCTCTTTTCACCAATCGGCTGTTTGCTTTATGTAATGTTTGGTGTACATAAACAAAAGCATTCACAACTGCAGTACGATAATCTGGAATACTAGGAACTAGAGAGCAAGCAGATGGGAAGAAATCAGGAGCTTTCCACATTGGTGGTCCATCCAAGTCAACAGATCGAGTGAATTCTTGACCAACCTATCGGGAATAAAAAAAAGTTAAAACATTTAATTCTGAGTTTAATTGAAAATATTTACTTGGAATAATGCTGTATCTGACCAGTCTCCAAACCAATTAAGGACACATCTGTTAAAAAGAGCAGGAGAGGTAGCTGCTCTGTCTTTTAATCCTTCTGAACTAGGATTCATAGTGAAAACAACATGCAAATTCCTCATTACTTGACCAGTGAACCATTTATAAAGTTCTTCATTTGAATCTAACATAAGACCTTCTCTTTGACTTCCTTCTTTACATTGGGTCATTAAAGTAGTATATTCGTCTCCTAAAAGTTAAAATAAATTTAAAATGAGGAACATATGATATGAACTCTTTAATTATTACATACCTTCAAATAAACCAGGAACTTCTCCATTAGCCAACAAAGTGTTCATACGTTCAAGGAAACCCGATTCCAATACATTTGATTCATCCAGTATGAATGTTATTTTCTCATTTTTACATCCAGATCTTCTCAACACTGCTCTCAGATCTTCATCAAAGTCTTCGCTTGTGTATTTGTTATGTACCTAAGAAAAAATAAACAAATTAAATAATTCTAGCAATTGTTTTTGTAAATGTAAATTCGTACCTAGTTGCACAAAATTGCAATAAATAGTAAAAACTAACTACAGATTATCTGACAACTGAAGATACTATAAAATAGAGTAACAAAATAATTGTGCCTTTGGTAATGCCAACGCTGCAATTCTTGGTAGAAATATAGTATACTACATGAAGTTGGTAAAAATTGCTTTATTTCAGAACACCTTCGTTTATTCATTAGCGATAACGGGTCTTATCAGAGATTTTAAGCGCATATCTATCAGACAATTGGGTTTTAGTTATGATTGAAACTACGATGTTCCGATGCATCAACATTCAACACGTTCAATGAGCTGAATTTCAGAACGCTATAGCTTGAAAATACATGATACGATGCATTTTTGAACATGTTTTATCATTTCAATGGAAATACATATCCACAGCGTTGCATTACCGCAGGCGCAATAAATTTAGTTGTACAATTTTACTTACTCTGATTTGGAATACAGAAAGACCATTCATAAATGCAACAAATCGTGAGAGTGTAGTCTTGCCAGCTCCAGAAACACCAATTAACAACAAATGACCTTGAGGTTGTCTAAATATCCTGTCTATCCGTAATACATGATCCAATACTTCATCAAAAAGTACAATTTTTACATCTAATTCTTCTTCGTAGAAGACCTAAATAAATAATGATACAAAAAATATTAATAACTATAGAATAATGATAAGATGAAAAATCATTTCAATACCTTTAGTCTTGCAGCAACATAATCTCGTAATTGTTTTCTTTCAACAGGTACATAATCTTTATGTAACCAATTACTATAAAGTATTGGTCTTTGAAGAGCTTCTTCTTTATTAATTCCAGGAAAATGTTTCATGGCAACTATATCAATATTTTCGTTTGTCCATTGACGTTCAACATCATCTACAAGACGATCTTGGAAGAGGCGTAATGCTTCATGTGCCCACAGACGTACTAAACCATCAACACTTAATGTTTCTAAAGGTCTAAAATAATTGTTTTATTTTATTATTATTTAATATTTATTCATTTTAGAACAATATTTTAATCAAATAATAATATTTGCATTATAATTAAAATGGGTTCGTTTATAAGATGAATTACCTGATTGCCTCACAAATTCCTCTAACCCAACGTGTCATCTCTCTAGGAGAATATACATAATGAGGTTGCATGTCTTGAGTAAACCGATCTTGAGATGCTAAATAAAATTCTACCATTGCATTTGTCAAGGGCTCTGCATAACCACGAAGGGTAGGAATTAATCGCAACATTGCTCTGCTGAAGGTTCCATAAATCTAAATAATTATTGAAAACAATAAATAATTTTAAATGAAGAATTATAAGCATATTATAAGTAATTTACCTGTTTCAAAGAGGTTTCACCAGGGTAGTCAACATATATTACTGGGACATGGCGTAAGAATCTATGTGATAAAGGTTTTCTACCAGGATCTGTCGGTGGATTACATGCTCCAACAAATTGTATTCTTTCCAACGATACCCAAGCTTGATCTCCAGTTGGTCTAGAATTATTTAAAATAAATATTAGGATTATCACCAATATAAAAATAAATTAGCTTAATATGCAAACATCAAATAATAGAAATATTTATTTACTTGTAAAAACCTCTTCGTTCCACTAATTGTCGCAAGAATGATATTACTCTTTGAGTACCATAGTTATCCATATCGGGTAAATTGATTTCATCACAGAATAATACCAACCATTTACCAAGCTTCATGCAAAACAAAATAATAAGAATAAAAACTTTAATTTTAATATTATTATGACGTTTGTTGCTTACTTGAATAGGAGAAAGAAAAATTCCATTAGGTGTTTTTCGGTATTCACAGTAATGATCAAACGTTTTTAATAAAAGTTCTGGGGTGGTTGCTGATGAAAAGTTCAAGCCAACAACTTCCATATCAGGAAGAGCTCTTAATGCCGAAAATAATGTCATTGTTTTTCCAGAACCAGGAGGACCACATAAAACTGAACACATTTTTAAATATTAATTTTGGTTTTACTGTTTTTCTTTACTTAATGTAACTGTTTTAATTGCTGATTATTAACTTACCCAAGGGTTTATGTTCTGCAAGCCATGTGTATAACAATGTTTCATGTCTTACAGTATCTAATGTAGGAACAACAACATCAGGTGATGCAACTTTATGTGTTTCGACTTCTACTTGTGGAACTCTATTAGACCAAGGAACCCAATCTCCATGGACATTGACCTGGTTAGAAAATTGTTTTAATAAAATATTTAAAATATAATCCACATAGGAATAACAAAAAATATTTAAAATATATTTACTTTGAAGTATAACTATCAATTATGTAACTAAATTATTTAAAATATAAAATAAATATGTAATTTACTATTTAGTCACAGATTAACTATTTCAAAAACTTACTTCATAATCAATAATGTTTTCAGTCATTGGCGGTAAAGCTACAGTTGTTACAGATCTAATGAATTCACCAATGTCAGAACGCACTTTCAATTTTGCATCACCAGCAAAACTCCATAATAAAGCATAAACTAAGCATTTTGGAATATACTGTTCTAATTGGTCATGTGGAAGTGGAAAATCTGAATGAGTCCTATTATATTGAAGAACATTCCTGAAAACAATAAAATTAAATATAATAATATTTGTACATGTTAAATATCTTTCGTAATATAAAATAAATTACCTAATACTTTGATTGATCATAGAAAACAATGATCCAAGAGCTCTTAATCGGGTAAAGTCCATAATATGTTCTTGTTTTATAGCATATTCTAAGCATCTAACAACTAAGCCATCTGATGACAAATGAGGTTGTAACATAGTCACAATATCCAACTGAAGCTACATAAACAAATAATATTTAACTTGACACATAAAACCCATTGAATATATGCAATTAATACCTGTAAAGTTGGGGACGTAAATTGTTCAACATTAGATCCTGATGTTGCAGAAACTGGTTGAGGAATAAGAGATATTGAATCTTCATCTCCTTCATCAATAGGTATGCTTTTTAAACGACTTAAATAATTTTCAAATATCATTTCAGTAGTTAAAACATCCTCACTAAACCATATCATACCACAACGAGATACAGTAGCAAGAGTGGCATATTTTAAATCTTGTACCTAAAACATTTAAATTATCATAAAATGTATTTCACATAAACTATAATCATCATAATATTTTTCAATTTTAAAAATAATCCATTGAATGTAATGCAATATAAAATGGTCAGATTGAAAATACCTTCTCTGTCTTACAAACGAATAACATAGCACATTGTAAGCTTAGCAGATCAATTTAGCTCTGTTAGTTTAAAAATTTGAGTGAACGATCTCTTATAAAATTTAAAGCTAAAATTATTATCTAGTGAACCTCATGGGTTTTTATTAGATTTCAATTTTTAAGCAAGGTATGAGTATTATAAAATGCACAAGCAATTTACACAATTTTAAAACACTCATAACTTGTTATAAAATTAAAGTATAAAAACCCTATAAGTTTCATAATATTCTTAATTCTAAATTTTATGAGAGGTTAATTCACTCTAATATTTGAACTAACAGAGCTAAACGTGATCTACAATACGTATGTACAATTAGTGAGCGTACAATTACATACATAAGTGCAGATGTAGCGCCCTCTTAAAAGACTACTGTGAAAATAATGCTATATTTAAATCACAGAAATAAAAGTAAAAGAATGCAGGGAAATAAACAAAAGTAGTTTTAATTATTAAAATAAGTCAAACTTTAATATATACTATTAATACTAAATATCTAATATTACAATCTAGTACTTACCTCAAACATAATTCGAACATTGGGTGGAAGTGATAAACGTTCTCCATTTGGTAATGTTAATAACTTGTTATCATCCAAAACAGAATTTAAATTTTCAACCCATTCAGGATCAACATCACCATCAAAAATGATCCATTGTCTTTTGTTAATTTCACCACGAACATTATCAACAATTTTTCTAAAATTTAAGCATTATAATTTAATAATTTAATATTAATATAAAGTTATAATGGGATATATTAAATTTAAAAACATAGTTTAGACATTTCTATATATTTCTTACCTTAATATATGAGTAAATAAGCCATCAGTCCATTCCCTAGTATTTGGGTCTAAAGCACCATACAAAGCTTCTTTAGATATGGCCTTTGGATCAATTACATGAGCTTGTCCTTCCATTCCATCAATTCTTTCAAGAGCTTTTAATAATACTTTCCAAGCACTAGATTTACCTGATCCACTTGGACCAACCATCATTAAGCCGTGATTTAGTTCACAAATTTGATAAAGTTGTAGCACCTAAAATTACATTAATTTATTTTATATGATATTATATTAATTTATGCAATTAATACAATGACAATCAATGATTGAAAATACCTTCTGAATCCATGTCTCCCCCATATAACACTAAGTAAGCGTGTAAATACAATTTTCAATCAATAGTAAATTAATTTAATTATGGAGAGTTAATATAGAAAGAAATGTTAAGTAATTTATATTTAATATGCTACCTTTTCCATCCAAGGACCACCAAGCTCGTCATCTTCTCCACAAACATAGTATTCTTCTTGGCATACTCTTCTAATTTGTTCTTTCAGTTCTAATATAATCAAGTAAAAAAACATATTTAGTTTTATTTTTAATTGAAATTATTAATATTATTCACCTGTCATTTGAGCCCGTTTATATTGAACTTGAGGGAACACATCATTTAACAAAGAAAATAAAAGCGGAATATCTTCTGCGACTAGTTTAGGTACCATTGTTTCACACACAGATTGAATCAATATCTATAAGTAATATATTTAATAATAATACAAATGTATAATATATTAATAAATATATTTTACTTCTTGCTCTGGTAGATTTTCTGCAATTTCAGCTTCATTCAAACTGTGTCTTTCGGTTGTTGCACTAATACCTTTAATATGTTGAATACGATCTCTTTTAACATTTCCAGCAGATACTAAAACAGACTTTAATGCTCGCAGTCCAAAATCATAGTGAGATTGATTAGAAAGTTGTTCATCACATAATCTAAAATATATATTATACATTAAAATGTAAATAAATTACCTTGATCTTATTTAAAAAAAGTTTACTTACTTGAAAAATGGTACAATTTTGCATGCAAGTTTCTCTGCTGTACGGAAACCTTGAGAAAACAACATAACTTCAGCTATAAGTTGCCTATCAGGTTTAGTCATGGCTAATGACCGGAATAACTTTTTAAGATTGTCTGGAAGATTTGAACGACCAGCATAACCAGGATTCATAGTAATAAATATTGCCATATCCGTAGATACTCTTACTTGTTTTCCAACTAGTTCTACGGTGATATCTATTAAAAAGAAAAATATAATTTGAAATAATAAAATATAATATGGTAAGTAGGTACTCAAGATATACAAAAAAATTTAAAAAGAATAAATTTAAATATTTAAGAAATTATATATGGTAAATAACTAATAAAAAGATAAACAATTGTTTATTTATTTGTTTAAAATATATGTAAAAAATATTTTTAAATTAAAAATTATAAGTTGAGGAAATTATGGTTAAATTCATGAATACATAAATAAATAAATACAGGTTTAAATTACATTTATATGTTAAGTTGTTCAATTTTTTTTTTAAAAGAATAAAGAAAACCAAAAGTATATTGAATAGTTGTGTTCTTAATAACATAAGATACCATACAGAAAATTAGGAAGAAACATGAAATATTTTTTTAAGTAAAACACCAATCCTAGTCTGACATTTACTTACTAGTTTTCTTAGAATCCATTTGGGATTTCAGTGCTTCTTGAATAGTTTGTATCTGTTGAGAGACTGCTGATAACATCCTTTCCTCTAATCTATTAAATTCATCAAAACATCCCCATGCTCCCACTTGACAAAGACCAACAAATATCCGCCCCATAGCTTGGAAATCAAAAGTTTCATCGCAGTTGAATACCAAGACAAAACGTCCTAACTGATGACCAAGAGCTTTGACAGACTCGGTCTTACCAGTACCAGCAGGACCTATGATTAATAAATAAATGCAATTTGAGTTATACTAAATACATAATTAAAAACTAAACTAACCAAATGGAGATCCTCCTAATCTAGCTTCTAGAGCTTGTGTCATAGTCAAGTAACAGCGATCAGTTAATGGAGTTTGAACTAATCGGTCTTGCACACCAAGGTATTCAAAGCCATAATAGAAATTAGCATTAGCCATTTGTATGGTAAGTTGTTTCAAGACGTCAGTTTGATTAGTGTCTAAATAGAAACGCATTTCACAAAGCCATTCAAAAGATCGAGGGCTTGATACTTTTCTAGAAATCAGTCTTCTCGTGATCATTCGTTTATGAACATATTCGTTAATCTTAAACAGAATTAAAAGTAATAATAACAGTTTATAGTAGTTATTAACTATCAATAAAAAAATTAATACATACTAAATATTCAAGTTTCTTTCGCCTTAATGGTGGCTGCTCTTGCAAAACAGAATCTGCTAAAAAGTTTAAGGATGTTTCAACTTGGGCTAATACATTTTCTAAAGGAGTTAATTTGGGCGTAGAATCATTTTCATTTTCACACTGCACTTGAATTTGGTGCAAAGCTGATTCTATGTCTTCACTCCACAATATTTGAGCAGATAGCACAACAATTTGTGCTTGATAGTTATCACACCATGTCATAAAAGCATCGTGGTCAATAGTTTCTTGTTTAAATTGCTTGCTATTAGTAACTGCTTCACTTAGACGTGACGCCAATGTAAATCGCATTTCTTTCTCCACCAATGTAAGCCATTCATTGATTTTGGGATGGTCAGTTGTAGATATAGGGTTAGTAAATATAACTTCTTCGCCTTCACGAGATGCTACACCAAGAATGTTTGTGGATGTTTCATCCAATATTATAGCAGCAACACCAGCAAACATTTTCTTAAAATGTTTCTGTAATCTTGAAATATTTTTGCTGTTTCCAATAATTTCTAAAAGATCTTCATCGCCGACAAAATAAAATCGTGGGAAAGACATTCTTTCTCTTTCCAAATATTCTCCAAGAGCCTTTTGTATTTTCCCTAATAAATCTGCTAATCTTTCAAGAGATCGTTGTACTCCTTGAATATTAAGAACATCAATTACCATTCGAGATTTAGAAACTTTTTTCATCAGGCCCAAAAAGTCAGAACTGTGGAAATTATAACTCATATTATACATACACACATACATAAATACATACATAATAAAATAAAAATTTAATAATACCTAATATTGTGGAATCTTGAAGTTTCAACTGGTAGCAAAGTTTTAATATCAGCACTGCCTGAGAAAATACCTTCCAAATAAACCCAACGTCTTTGAACATCAATCCAAACATCGAACAAGGTATTAATTCGATTTAGTTTTTCTTCCCATGTTAAAGCTTCTTCTTCAAAAACCTGATTTGACATATCATATAATATAAATAAACGTTAATATTATAAAAGCAACAATTAATACAAAATGTTTTTTTTTATGTATATTACACAATTCTTTGAGCAAAACAAGAATCGTTTTTGTAACACAACATTTTAAATGTAAGTATCAACAACACATAAACTAAATATGATACAAATGTTGAGTGTTAAAAAGGTCTTACAACAAATCAATAAAATAATTAATACGTACTTTGTAATAAGGTGATAATTTCATTGCTGCTACAGAATTGATATGTTCTTTAACTGTATTGAAGAGTTCATCCCAGCCTCTTATTAGACGACACTTATTTTGATAATTAATTAAGTCTAAAGAATATGACTGCCAAGTATCTCGGACCTAATAATCAAAATTAAGATTAATCTATGATATAAAAATATAATTACTATTGGCTTATTTATTTATGAAGGTACATTGATTAAATTGAAAAAAAAGGAACTATGTACAATATTAATTAGATAGTATGTTTAAACTATTGTTTTTTTATAATATATTTCAACTTCAATAAACATAAAAAGTAATGAACTTATCTAATTATTTACCTATATACTTCTAAAAATAAATAAACCATCAATAAATTTAACTAAAATAAATTAAAACACCCGTATTTTTTCATTATAAATGAAAACTAAATTGCAGTAATTTATTGTTGAATTGTTAAATACACAAATTCAAATAAACAAAGTATAAACTATAAATCAAACTTATCTGACCAAAAAATAAAATAAAATATCTAAATTATAACTTACTTGTTTTAAAAATTCTTCTAGGGCCATTTCTCCTTGTGCAGTCATAATAATATCCTTAACAACTGCTTCGTTTGCTTGTAAATCTACATCCCAAATTTGTCCCAATGTTATATCAGAAAATGTCCAGGTCACTCTAAGTTTACGCATTAACTGTTTCCAATGACGATCTTTTAATGCATCCGATTTTAATTCTATCACAGTCATGTTAACCTGAAAAATATAAGTTTCCAAACTTGTAAATTTAAATAGGTAGGTATATTAACAAGTTTTTATTTAATATTTCAATTATGAGGGCCCTACACAAACATCCGTGCTCACATAACATACCAAATTATATGATCTGTAAATCACTTTTAGCTCTGTTAGTTAAAAAATTAGAGTTAATTGACAACCTAAAAAATTTAGAAGTAAGATTATTATCTATTGAAACATTTAATATTTTTTTTACTTTGAATTTTAAAACAAGTTATAAGTTATTTAAAATGCACAAAAAGTTTACAATTTTAAAATACTCATAACTGCTTTAAGATTAAAACATAAAAAAGCCCTATAAGGTTCACTAGATAATAATCTTACTACTTAATTATTTAAGAGGTAAATTCACTCTAATATTTAAACTAAAAGAGCTAAACGAGATCAGCCGATCGTACAATTTTCTGTTATGCGTTTGTAAGACAGAGAAAACATATGCGGTGTATAGCGCCACCTTAAATATCAGATGAATAGTATAATATAATTAAAAATAATAATAATAAAAAAGACTCCAATAAATGATAAAAATGTTTGTAACTAACCCTAACTATGTTAGAAAAAAAAGTAAATACGCTTACCTTAACATAACTCTGCAAAAGCTTCTTAACATATTCATATGAAGAATATTGTCTGAAACGAGCAGGCAATTCTTTTAATTGATTAGTTAAACCATCCAATTGTTGACGGAGTTTTCTTGGCTGAACTGAAAGCCAAGGTTTTTCACGGATTTCATCAATCTGTATCCATATTTTTGAAAGTTCAGACCAAACACCCTTAAGATCTTGCATTTCTTCAAAAACTACTATCATACGATCTTCGGCACTTGATAATGCACTACCTAATAAATAAAAACAAAAATTTGTCGATGTTTTTAAATGTATAAAAATTAAAAAGTATAAATTGTTAAAAAAATTTCTAAAAAATATAATAAGTGTAAACCTTGATAAAAGACTAACTTGGCAAAATCATATAAGAATAAAAAGATTAATACTTAATACCCGTTCCCGATCTTAAAAATTTTTTTTCAAAAAATAAGTTCTTAACCCTAAAAACTAAATTTTACAAATATATCAATCTCTTCTGAAACTCATATGGACGTATGGAATCCAACTATGAGGTTTCGCGAAAAAAACAAATTTAAATAAATTTAAGGCATTCCAAAATATCACACTTCAAAAAATATAAATGTTCAACCCTATATCTCAAACTTGGCCCTACACAAAGACCTATGTGTAAAAACAGTAGAAGAAGAAGCTCCTGTTTTCTATAAACGTTCTTATATTAACTTAGAAAACCATGAAAATCCTTTAATAAAAGGATGACATATCCCTCATTTCTTGAAAATCCCCGTCATAGACTTAAAAGAAAATGGTGTAGACATTTAACTTAATCAGATAACAACTCAACTTCCAAGCTAAGTGCTACTAATGGGTGGCTTCTTATTCACGCAACCTCATGTTTTTTTTTTCTAATCTCACATAAACTTATTGTTCAGTAATATGTATTATAGACTGTATATTTCTTATAAAAAAAAAATATATATATAGTACAAACCAGCTGGATCTTTAAGTTCTAAGGCTTCTTTAGCTTTGGCGACATTATCTCTTTCTTCTTTAATACGTGTAAATTTATTCTCAAATACTTGAAGCTGGGATAAAGCATCATCAGGTTGTGTGTTTCCAGCTACTGGTTTACCCTGTTCCCATTCCAAAAGGAAATCATTTGTTCTTGTTTCCACAGCTTTATTTTCAGCAATTATCTTCATTTGAAGACTTTGAACCTAAATGTAAAAAATGTTGTGAAATAAATCTAAATCAATTGAATACACAAAACAATTAGATAAATATGTGTATTAATTACTTGAGTTTGAATAGATTTGTCTTTGCGTTTAATTATTTCATTAAATGCGCTCCACTCGCCTTCAACATTATCTAGATCAAGCCAATTACTAGGAAATTGGAATCGTTGTCTTTCTAAAATTTTTTGTCCTTTTTTATAAAGATCAACTTGTTTCTCCCATACTCTCATACTGCGTTTTAAAAATTGCACATAAGTAATAAATGATACAGCATCAGATGTACTTGCAGCTTCAATTGATTGTTTTTCCATATCGTTCCGAGACTAAAATAATCAATTTATTCTAATAATTAAGTTAATTTAAATTAAAATAATATTTTGTACAACTTACTTTAGCCACTTGAACATGAAATTCTGTCATACTATTACCAAGCAGTCCTCCAAATTTATTCAAAATTTCTTTATGCCAAGAATCATACTTCAATGCTACTTTACTTTGAACCTTACCATATTCTATAATAAATGGTCCAAGATCTTTTCGAGTTTCAGTTGTATCAAATGTTTTACGAGATTTTCTAAAAATTAACATTGAATAATTAATATTATTGTGATTATTTGATAATTTTGACATAATTAAAACATAACAATAATTCTTACTGAATATCATTTAAATAGGTCATCCAAGTATTGATATCCTCTCCCATTTGGCTATAAAGATTATCAGCTTGTAAATCCCATAAGGATTGATAAATTAGCCACTCTGACATGTATTTTTCAGCCTTTAAACAAACGCCATTACAAATACACGCTAAAATTGTATTATATTAAATATTGAATACCTCATTTATTTTTCTTTCCATTGCTTCAAATGCAGCTGTTAAAAATGTCTCCCCAGATGGTAGATTGGCTAAAAGATCTTGATATGTCTGAGATGTTGGTTGATCCAAACCAACTTGGTATCTAGAACTTTGTAATCTAACTTGTGACGTAACTACAGCTTGCCATGCAAAGAACTGTTGCATGAGTTGAACACGTCCTTCACACAGATTTGGATACAAATAAATAGTTTGATTGGTTATTCTGACTTCAAGTATCTGCACTTTAATTTGAGGATCACCACCAAGCTTATTAGTTGGTTGAGGTGGTGCATCAGTATCCATACTCAAATCTTTCTGTTTTCCTTCTAATGCTTCAGTCCAAGCTTGTATACCTGCTTGGAGCCTTGAGGATAAACTTTTTTCAATCTATAATAATAAAATAATAATTCATTACTTTAATCTAGTCAAATAAATAATAACTACAAACCTGTTGATCAAGACGTGTCACCCAAATATGTAAATTTGAATATTGTCTTAGCGACAGATCGTCTACTGCTCTTTGAATTTTTGAAAGAATATCTGCTAATGTGCTAGCAGAATATGCGCAAGTTTCTAAAGATTTAACATCCAGGTCAAGCTGTTCTTCAACTACCAAAAGATCTTCGACTTTTTCTTGAAAAGCTAGTATCTGTTCTGCATACTTTTGAACATATTGATCAAGTTTATAGCTTTCCCATACCATTTGAACACCTTCTGCAATAAGTCCTTGAGTGTCTTTATGTAGCCCAGCTATTAATGGCACAATACTAGTTTTATCTTCAATCTGTCAAAAAACATTTTTATTATTAGTTACTTATTATTAAAAATATTTTAACTATAACTTAAGTAGAACCACTACCTTCAAATAAGAACTCCTATTGATAAGCTAATTAAAAAATAAATTATAAAACAATATATAAATAAAATGTTTGAAAAAAACATATAAAATGTATTTTAAACATATGGGTAAGAGAAAATAATGCACAATATTAATACGTAAAAATCTTACTTTGTCCAAAGTACATTCATAAGTACGAACACTTTCACGCAGGGATATAGCAAATGGGTACAATTGATTTGCTTGATGAGCTTTATTAACAATTGCCAAAGGTACACGGAATCCAAGATTTTTTAAATGTCTCACTTCTTTTGATAAAGTAATAATCTCAGGTAAAAAGTTGACCTAACATAAACATAATGATATTAGATGCATTTATATAATATTTTTTTTTTTTTTTAACTTTATTTTAAAACATACAATTTGTAATTTAATTTACAATAAGCATGTATGCGGATATACATTTATTTGACATGCGAGGCTTGAAAAAAGAAGCCACCCAATAGCAACACTTTATAACAGAAGTGCATTTATATAATATAAACATTTAAATTAAATTCTTACCCTAAGTTTTAAAACATTTCCTCGACCAGTACGAGATCTTGTACTTTCAATAGTAAATATTCTTCCAGATACACCCATATTTCTTTGTTGAACTCCTCGAGCCCAATCATCAAAAATGTCTTTTGTATTTAATTTTAGTCGGAAACTATCGCCATCAGCTTTTAATTTTTGACCTTCTAAATGATCTTCCCATCCTTTGCCTATTCAATAAAAATTAAATATTTTACTAAACATTTTTTTTATAGACCAATATTTTATTATGTAGGTTAAAATTTACCTAAAACATCTTCAACTCTTCGTAGATAAGCAGATAATTGACTATCAATTAATTTTGCCCATAAAATGGAACCAGCAATTGGTGGTATGTCTTGTTGGTGGCTCAAATAGTATGCTTTACTTTGTGGATATTGAGTCTAGACAGATTAATATGAAAAATTGTGTTACAATAACAATATTTGTATTATATTTTTAGAAAAATTTACTTTAAACTTATCATGAAGAGCTTCAATATCTTCTTTAACTTTATTAATAAGTTGAGTTTGATATTCGCGTATAGCTCCACGTATATGTGGCCTTACAAATAGAGCATTAAAACGAGAAAATATGCGGAACATCTCATTAGCATTGCGAGCTGTTCCTAATTGATCTCTAAGATGAGCAGTAATTCTAGCTTCAACTCTGTCTATTCTTTCTTCATATCTTGCTACAGCAGCTTCCCAAGCTTCAACTCCCTCACGACTAATATCCAGACAATCCACAACTTTTATATTCTCGTAAGCTGAATTCACTTCCTAATAATAATTAAACATGTTGTTTTAGATACTGGTTACAATATTTTATAACAATTGAAAATAATATTTAGTATAGCAAATTCTTCAATACCTCTATAGCACTTGTATCTGGAGCTGGTGATAATGATACTGGACCTTGATCTTGGTCTTCGCGCACTTGAGATTGTTGAGCTGTAGGTCTAAGAACTCGCATTATAACTGCTTGCAATTGTTCATGCTGCTGCCTAAACTTTCTCATATGTTCAAGCCTTGTTTGTAATCGTTTATGATCTGGTTGTATACGCCAAACTACTTTGAATGTTTCATCTCGTTTTCTTTTAACTACATCCCTAAAGCCATTCAATAAGTTTAGTATATTGTTATAAATTCAAATTATTATATTAAATTATATTTTATATTACCTCAAAATAACTTGAAGTTTATCAAATTCATCATCATACGCAGTAAAAACATTAAAACACTGTCCCATGACTTTTTCAAATTCATCATAGGGTATATGCATTAAAAACCTAGTACCTAACACCTAAGAACAGTAATTATAATTATTAATATTACCAACCTTAAAATATAAAACAATACTCACTTTTAATAATTTTGATAATAAATCTCTTGAAATTGCTTCAACTAATTTTAATAATTTTGGTAAAGGATACTTTGTGCTCCGTATTTTACGTAAATGAATAAAAATATGTTCTATAGCAGTACGAATACGATCTAAATCTGTTGCTGCTAGAAGATCATTGATAGGGAAATCTTTCATTAAAGTGTTATAATCATTGACAGTAGCTAAAGCAGTCTTCAGACCAGTATCACTATCAAAACTGACAGTCGCATGAAAACGTTTGCCATGTTTTAAAATATCTAATGTAAGGCCTACTTCTAAACTATCACGCTTATCTTGTATACGATGTAAAGCTCTTTCTTTATTTAACCAAAAACTAATTTCTTGTAGAGCTGTTCCATTTAATGGATCTCTATCTAAATTGGTCACCTACAAAATTGAATACAATTTAATAAGTATGTTAAGCATTTTAATGATTTTGTTTAAACATCAATTTACTTTTTGTATTTCTTTGATCCAACGATTAACACCAGCTTGAAGCTGATTAAGAAACTTGGAATCTTCAACAAGAGCTCCAAAATCAGATACTTTTGGTTTACGATTTGGGTCATCAGCAAATTTGCTTATTACAGACAATACAGTTGGATTAATTGTTAATGTCACTTCAGGAATATCAATATTTTGTTGTAAATGAAGTAGACCCATTTCTAATTCAACCATAGTCTTTTCTACTGATGGAGCCATTTTATCACCATCTCTATAAAAATATCAATCATTTTGGTTTAAATATATGGTTCAGGTATGTTTAATTAAAAACCACCAACAAATGGATAACAAACAAGATATATTATAACAATACCTATCAGCTCTTCCAGATTCTTTTACATAACTCTTGAAGTATGGAGTAATAGCTTTACTAACTAATGCGTGCAATGTTTCATATGGTGAACCATCATTAAACTGTACAAGTCGTACTTGACTTGGAATTGGTTTATCAGCTTCTATCACTGTAGCTCTTTTCATAAAAGACAAGCTATACAAAAATTATTTTCAAAAAGAAAGGTTAATTTAATTCAATTCAAATATAAAAGGAAAACATGTTGTTTAAAACCTTGTCATTTTTTGATTGGTGAAAACAACTTCGTTTGACAAATAGAATATTGGTATATCTTTATCATCTTCTCCATCGGCGCCATTTTCCGTTTCTTCGTCTAAAAAAATATTAACGCTCGAATATACATTATTTTTCGAAACTCAAAACTACGCTAGACTGAAATTGTCGAGAGTGAAACCTTTATTGACGCTCTTCTGGACAAAAACCGTCGAGGTGTTGGGGTCGGACAGAAACTTTTTGACGCATTCGAGGTTGACAGGATCATCAAACGCCAGATCCAGCATGGATGTGGTGGCCGCCTTGTCACCGTGCAGAACGGTTGACACCGTCTTCTTTAAGTAGTCGACAAACACGGCCGTATCCATAATGGACAGCGAGTTGGCCGCGTTATCGTCCAGCGAAGACAAGGCGTTGGCAGTGCCGCTGTCCAGCGATTCCGTCATCGTTCCTGTAAATTGAGGACGCCGAGAGCTGAAGATTACTTGACGTGTGATAGATTTAATCTACACATCATAATATAGGTAGGTACACGTCAGGTACGACGGACAACCGCTGACGGGACCGGACCAAACGTCGTTTACCTGGGCGGAGACGGACCGGAACTAGTCTGGAACTGGGACGGCGCCGGGGCTAGAGGAGGGACGAGAAAACGCGAGAAAATCGAGGGCCGGTTTTCGCGTTTTCACATGTTGATGATAAGGGGGAAAACCCGAGCAGCGACGGCTCACCGTTCGTTCGATACGGACTTGCGGCTATACAGTAAGTTGGATAGGATGGCTGCGACAAGAGTAATAAGTCTGTGCTCGAAACCGGGCTAAGGCGTCATGGCACGCGATAAAACACAATAATAATAATGATGATATTTATGCTAATTCGGACGACAAGAGAACGAGACGTGTATTTTTTGAATGACGGGGAGTAGCACACACACAGATATCGGATATTCGGATATGCACACTGCACACACACACACACGCAGATGCCAGATATGAGAATCTAGAGATAATATGCACCGCCGACAACTTACAATTGATGCACACCGCATTCACGTCCCCACGGAATATTGTGTACGATATCATCGGTCCGCTGTCCACGATCCGTCAGCCGGACGCACTGGTCGTCGGCCAGCACCAGACGCCAGCGTTTTGAGCCGCCGACAGTGTGGCCAACGTGAACCGGCAACCGCCGATTGACGCGCACTTTCATAGTTTCATACTTTCATCACAGAATATCTGAATATATTAAATATTAATAGTAGGTAGTAGTTGTTTCATGTACATACATTATTATTTCATTATTGTACTCATTACTCACATAGAACAATGTTACTACTTTTGTGTAGGTATTCCGCTGTCGTCGGACTGCGTAGGTAGCAAACTGGCAAATAATAAATACATAAATATAATAATATAATGTTACACGACTCCCGAGTCCCGATACTTCGCTGGTGTCACGCCATGCTTTCGAACTCAGAGTAATATACAGATGACAAGAAATTATTTCATTATTTACATATTATATTATTATAATAGTCTGTGTCCTGTGATAGTGTGATCTATAATAGGGCGAAATCACCTTTACGCACTTGTCAGCACTACTTAGTGTGCTGTGTTACAAGTTGATGACATATTTTGGGCCGTATTCTATCCATTTCGAAAAGCCCCGTACGTGCATCGGTGAAACGTGCAATTATTAATTACAACGTGTAGGTTTATGGTGTACTGTTATTGTAATTATTTATTACCTATTACAATTTAGAATACAGTCACAACGTACAACCATAGAACAATGGTACAACGTACTTCAATACTTACAGTGTGTCAGTGCACCATCAACTGTCAAGTCTATCGTCTATATAGCTGCAGCGGTATATAATAATAATGCTGCAAATAGATCAGTACAAAACAATGCACACTGCAGTTGTAGTTGCAGTATTCGCTAGTATAATGGTGTCTGGGGAGCCGGGGAGGGGACTTGCTCAATTTATACATTTATTATAAAGGTGTCAATAGGTGGCTATGATGACTAATAATATAATATAGAAAATAATAAGGCCTAAGGTCTAAGGTGTAGGTAGGTAGTAGGTACATGCAGAATAGAAATATTTGTGAACATTTTGATAAATCAAGTAATTACCTATCTTATTTCTAAACTATAATTTTCTATTATTATTATTATTAATATTATTTCTATTTTATATTGTACCTACAACTAGCGTGATTTTCAGTTTACGATGTTATGATATTATATAGTAGTACACTGATACAAGTAATGCGCTGAGAATGGTATTGATTATAAATACTATTTTATACTTTTATAATACCTATTTATAATCAATGGTAATAAGTGGCACCTTTCATATTTTTATTATTTACGACAATAATTATGACTAGTAATTACCTAGTACCTACAATCCTACATAATAATATATAGATTATAGTCCATAGATACAACAAATATCTAAATTCATAAATATGCACCTACAACAGTAACACAATAAAAGTAAAATCCGGTCGTAGAGACAATATTTTAGGGGTCAGGTTGCTAATGCTAAAATTAAAAAATATATTCTGTTGTTCATTTCTATCAATTTTATTTTGAGTTCAGGAATGCCTTTTTATCGATCTTGCATTTTTCATAGTTATTGCTAAATGATATTTTCTTATTTAAGTATATGTCAATAAACATTACAATTTTTAAATATTAATATTAATAAGCCTAATTCATGAAATATAACTTTCAAGTTTCGATGGTATTAGGCTATAATTAGAGTCTTTACAATAATAAACAATTGTCCCTAGGTATTAAATAAATATAACAATCAAATAGTTAAAGAGTAAAGAGCTTACTTTATATGTTAAATTGCTATAAGCAAACTCTAAAGTACAGTTAGCACATATACCTAGTAAAAACATTTTGGCACATTCTACCATTCTAATAATAAGTAGTTTTTTTTCAAACTTTTTTTGTGCATCCTTAAAATTATTTACCTATTATTTTATTTATTAATTTGTAATAATTTTAGCTAAAATCAATTAATAATTAAAGTAATTTATTATGACACTTATTTAAATATTTTATAATGTGTAATTTTATATAAAAATATCTTTATAGATAGTATATTACATACTGAATGGTTTTTTTGTTGGACTGATTACTGATGTATGAGTTAATGAGCATGAAAAGTAATACATTTTTTCATATTACATACCAGGTTTTCAATTCTCCTTCCTCCTTCTAACTCATTGAAAGTAAACGGTAAATCAGTTGTAAACATTAATGCTGCATACAACATTTTTGAAACTTCAATATTGTTACAGTATTGGTTTCTGAGTGAAACGATGAATGTATTGATTTTACAATGATGTGTGTTTTTTTTTTTATTTTTTAATTTTTAATTTTTTTTTGTGTCTGTCATCACGTTTTAGGACAGTCAAAGTGCTTGGATTTTCTTCAACAGTAGCTTTTCTGATAGGAAAGTGAATCTAGTTGGTACTTTGGAGGGTCAAAAGTAAAAATTGCTCAGTAGTTTTCACAAGCGCCGGGAAAAACAACATAAAAATTAAGGAAAAACGGGAATTTTTACACTAAATTCTGTTTTCGAAAAAATCGATTTTGGTTTTTGGTGCAAATTTGCAAATTATTTTGAGTTAAGAATTCGTAAAAAATTTCATTTTTAAATCTAAGATTTGAAAATGTAATACAAGAATCCTTATAAGATTATCTACCTTTATCAAAAAAAAAATGTCTATAAGAAAGTCAAATTAAATTTTTATGAGCTTTTGAAATTCAAATTTTTACAAAATTGGATATTCACTCGATTTCTCATATAGCGATTTACTTATTTTGTTGTAATTCAAAAACGAATAACTGTAGATACATGAAAATTTCACTGAATATGTATATTAGCATTTCCTATACACCATACAATTTTGAAAATATTTTGACACTTTTTGAGCTGTTTACGGACATTTACAGCTTTCAATTTTTTTAGTTTTTTTTTCTATAAATATCAATAAAGTTTTATCTGTTAGGCCAAAAAGTGGAAAAAATTAATACAAGGCTCCTGATATATTGTTACAATAGCAATTGAAAAATATTAAAAATACATATGCACAAATTTTTTTTATAAGCATTTAAAAATCAAATTTTGACAAAATTTATCAAAATCTCGAAAATTATCAATCATTGTAATTAATAAATTATAAATTGTTCAGTTTTTATAGCTAAGGATCGCAAATTCAAAACAAAGAATCTCATAAATAGTTCATACTATAACCAAAAAATCTAAAAAATATATGAACACAGTTAATGTTTACAGACATTTTAAATTCAAATTTGGACGAAATTACATATTAATAAACCTAGAATAACTATTGTAGTTATTTTGTTGTGATTGAATAATATTATTCGTGGGTACTTGAAACTTCTAAAGTGTACTATTATATAACTATGATAGTATCACGGTTTTTGTTGATGTATAACGCGTTAAACGTACCTAATGGATATTGTGATGTGATTAATTTGGAATTTATTATAGGTACCTATTATAGGTCAATTTTTTGTTTAATACCATAGATATGTATATAATATGTCGTATACATAGACTGACATACCGTCTCCGCTCAGAATCGTTTTTCTTATACAATGATATTATATCGTTGAATTCAAATTTAAAATCATCCATTATACAATGACCCACTTGTAACCTACTGTACAGCAGAGCGACACCCACTTGCCCACCTTTTTAGGTATGAAGCTTTTTAAGTTTAAAATATTAGTATTTTTAATTTCAAATCTGTGTTTAATTTCAATTAATAATGAATCTAAGTATGGATAATAAACAGAAACTCTATAATAATGCTCAGGTGTGTTTGATTCTAAAGAAATATTTAAGCGGTTACACTGTTTATTTGCATTTCTTGGTATCTTGACTTCAATGTTAAATTTATTAGCCAAATCTTCGGATTTTTTAAAAATATCTTTAAAGTCATTTTCATTGCGTTGATTTGTCAAAACAGTTAAAGCCGATTGTACCTATTAAAGATTGTGCTTCAGATATATCAAAAGTTGGAGACTGGAGTTTCCTTGATAAAGGTAGTGTACAACTCATAATATTTATTATAATTTGTAATGTCAATAAAAAATCAAATCTTAATATTGAGTTATATAAACCATTAACTTTTGTCAAAATTTGTCCTTCAGAATTTTCGATCATATATTCCAAAAATGATACAATAGCAGGTTATTTGGTTAAATCGTATAAAAGCTTCATGATGACCCATCTAGTTGTACATAACTTTAATAATATATCTGAGTTAAGAATTGGACAGTGTTTGTTATTTTTACAGTAGTTTCATCAGCTAAAATTGAAAAATATGTTGCTTTTTTTACTTTTCTACTATTTTTTTGATGACAATATCTCCACAACATTGTATAATAT